GTAAATAATAACAGCATCTTAAAGCAAAAGTTTTGGTTTAATATCCAAGTAAATGTGTAAAAATGAAACAAATTTTTAACATTTTGTACCAAAATTAAGGTAGTTTCATGGAATTCAATGCACAGCAATAATATTGGAACCAAAAAAAACTTTATCTTTTTAGCTAAATGAAATAGCAGCATCATATATAAAAGGTGCGTTTGTGATTGAAATCAAGGTTCTCATATTTCAGCTTCATACCTTTTAAAAGTTTTCTTTTAAAACTTACTGTAAGCTATATGATGATTGCATTTAAATAATAGTGACAATGATGATCATGATGATGGAAATTATAACAATGATGACAATAATATATTTTTCTTGGGTCTTAGTATTTGTTGCTACATCAATTGTCTTGAAAAGTGGTGACTGGCATGTAAGGAGATGTCTTTCTAGTTATATCCACCCCCCCAGCCATAATTTCCAGAGATTTTCAAGTTCAAATGTTTTTGTTTGGCATATTTTAAACTTCTTCCCCAGATGGCAATGTAATGTTTCCTCCACGAAGTTCTACTGATTCCTGTGTTGTTAATGCAGAATTCAGAAGATTTGTAACTCAAATCTGGGTAAAAACACAATTTTAACAATTTTTGGTATACTAAAATGCATGCAAGAAACACAAATCCAAAATTCTGAAGATCGTTCAAAGTGTGAGTCATGATATAAAAAAGCTCCTGATGAATACAGTAGTACTTGAATAGGTTTGTACTTTAGGACAACATTTGGATGGAAAGGTGAGAAGCCTTTGCATGGAGTTTCATTGTCCCCAAAGTTCGTGATGGAGATGGATGATATACCTTAGTTAAATTAGTTTCTACAACCTACTGGCAGAAAGGGTATGGTTTGGTCTGCTGCATTGGCAAAAAAGGAAGCACAAGGGAACGGGTATGGCTACTTAGTTTCACTCAAAGTCTGTTCTCTCTTTTGCTCCTCAAGAGTGAAGTGCAAATTAATAAAAATTTTATGGAGGGGTTGTAAAACTGACCAGAATCTGCCCTCTTAATGAGATGACCCTCAGAAAGTCTTCCAGTGGCAATAGCAGGAGCATCATATAAGCCCAGGGAAAAGACACAGCTTCTATCCTTTTGTTTCAGAGAGGCAAAGTGAGGACAACCTTGGCTACCTTAGCAAGAGTTTTGGAAATATATTGCAGATCATAAAATTCTACCTGGGACCAGGAAAGCAGAGAGGAACCTGCTGCTGACACACATAGGGCTGAAGAGGTACAATTTGGAATGGCAGTCAGAGTTTTGATCTGGCAAGATAGATTACATCCACTTTTATTTCTGATTTTCTAACAGCATGACTTCCATTCAATTCAAATCTATATGGACCAGCTATGGATCATCATAAATAGATCCTCAGTAGAGAATAAATTATTTGTGGCAGTATTACTACAAGTAACACAATTCCCATTTGAACTATTTGCAATCCTGTTTTGCTGCTATATGAACAATCTGTTTCATAATCATGGATGTTTCCTGTAGATAGCCAGGGCATTCAGGCCCAAATCTCTACCTTGTGAAGTCAGAAAACAACTTTCCTTTCTTTTTTTCTACTCTAAGGAATCCAAACCAAACTCAATTGGCCTAAAAGAATGGATTAGCTGGGTCATCCTGCTCTGCCTTTGTCAGTTCATGACACCCTTAGGCCAAAAGTATCAAACATTCACAACTTCTTGAGGATACAATTGTCCTGGCCATGTGCTTGACAACTAGAAAATATAGCCATGTTTGCTTCACAGAATAAATCCTGCCAGTTCCAACTTGTGTCTCCAAATTACTCTGCCAGCCTTCCCCCAACAACGCAGACACAAGAGCAGTTTATTTGACTCGATACCCAGTTCCTCTTGTCAGAACTGAATGATCAAAGTGGAATTGTCAGGACATTAGTTTGGCACCATCTTTAAAATTTCTCAGCATTATTTCATTGCAAGATCAAAAATATTATCACATAACACTTCTATCCTCAGTATTCACCATTTACAGGAATGTGAACTGGGACTGGCTATGAAAATAGAGAAGCGGTTCCATAGAATAAAAGAAATATCAAAATATAGTGTTAAGAAAGCAAAACATGTTGGGGTTTTCTTTTCACTCTACTAGGTTGTTTTTTTTGTAGTTTCTCTTTTCTGTAATAAATTTACACAGAATTGATAGATTACATTGTCTTTGATTCTTCTTATCTGCACCACAAAATATAAACCACTATTTTTTAAGCAAGAATCTAATTCCTTTTAGTGAGCTGTGCCTTTCCCAAGTAGTAACAAAACTATGGAAAGTAAAAAAAAAAAAAAGTCCCCACCCAGATAACCAGAAGGCATATCACAGTGCCAGCATCAACAACACAGTCATTCATTTCAAGACTGGGAACACTAGGTATTCTTCTATTCAGAATTTATTTGTCTGAGAAAACAAAATCTAGGCTTTGATGAGAAAGGCTTTCATCTGGTAATTGGATTTTTTTCATTTTTATGGGCCTCCACAGTGCCCCTGGAGACTCATACACTTGAGTTATTGATTGTCTCATATGGATTAAACACCTTGGCCAGACTACAGTGTTGTGCCAAAGTCAAGCCTCTCCCTTAATGAAATACTGCAATACCTGCTGAAAATCTAATGATCTAAGTGAATTAAAAAACATATCGTTCAGATGGAGACTAAAAATATAGAGTAAAACAAGGGCACAAGATGTTCAAACTACAACTTCCAAGAACGCTGATGGCTAAATTTACAAAGAGAATTTTTTTTAATTGTTTTTAATTGGGTTTTTTTGAGATATAAGAGAAGTCCTGTAAGGGGCAGCTTATAAGGATTTTTTAAAAACATAATAAAAAGGAAAAAAGTTACCCAAATGAATTTCCCATCATTTGAAAATGAGTTTTGATGGAAAAAAGTGGACCTGAACCAAAGTCCCCACTGAGACTGTTAGTCACTGCTCCCCGTGGGGTAGGCAGGGAAGGGCATGCGGGATAAGGACATACATCTGGAAAATGCAGCCCGGGTCATTTTCCTAAGAGAGAAAGCAGGAATAGCTGTGTTCAAGTACTGAAACTAGAAGTACGCATAGTCTGTAGTTTGCACCATAGTACAGTAAACTTTAATTTTCTTTTTAAGAGCAGGACTAATGTCAGGGGAAGGAAGATGAAAAAATCAGAAAGAAAGTACTTGAGAGACAAAAATATAAGTGTTTTGAACATTACAGACCGTGAACAATTATCACTGAACTTAAGAAGTTCTGATATTTCATTCAATACATGATCCAAATATCTGAGATATGGGCAGTTAACTTTCCTCTCAGACTTTTAATGAACAGAGCGAGGTACTGTTATTTGGAAAATCCAGCTCTACCAAATTATTTATAGTGCCAGTAACAAGTACATCAGCAATGCAGAAATGTAAGTAGTACAAGTTATACCTTTTAAACTTCTGTCAGAGGTTGGATCAGGTGGTGTTAAATGACACAGCTTCACTGTGGTGTCTGAGCAGAACTGTGACTTCCATGAGTTCTGGATCTGGAAAACTCTTTGCACACAATCTGAATGCCTGTTTTCCTTGCAAATTAATGCTTTTTGAGGAGTTTTGCTGCCAATACAGTAGTGCAGTGACACAGGTGATTCCTTGAAGCATTTCTGTTTACATGTTTTCAAGACTGCATATTATGCTGTGTAACTAACTACAATCAAAGGAAGTAGAAAAACTAAAAATCCCACTATTAACCATTGGATTAAGTCATAAGGGAAAACTTCATTGAGAACTAATTGACTGGAAGTCTTAGAAAGTCAGTGAGTGGCTGTATCAATATCCTATCAATAGAATGGGTTGTATCTTGGATATTACCCCAGATGAGGACATTCACTTGAGTTACAGGTTTGTTCTAACAGGGAATTTTGTGTCGGGTAAAATTATTAACTACTAATTAAAGGGAGGAGGAGAAAAACAGCAAGGAAAACTATCAGCTGTAATTAAAGTAAGAGATTTCTACGAACCCTTCCCATTCCTGCCTGCCTCTGGTACTACCTTCACCACCTTCTTCCTTTTCCGAACAGTCAGAGACCTGCTCTTCTTGTCAGCTGGGCTGGGGCACAAGCTTTTCCCTTTATAAAGAGCAGCAGTATTTGGTTCTTGCACTTATCTGGTCTAACTATACAGAGAACAGAAATAATAGAATATGCATATCAGCATAAATTAACCTGAAGCCTAACTATTCACTTTACAGCAGAATTTCTCATAATGTGATCAGTATTTAGTTTAAATCAATATTTCTTTGACTACAATTTAAAGACTATTAAAACCCCACCATTTATAGCTTTTCTACTGATATTTGAGACTGCTAGCACTCAGAAAACTGAAATGTGATGAAACGCAGTATAATGTAGACAGATTACATGTCACCAGATGTAAGTGCCACAAAGAGTCCCCAGGAATTCAGATCTATTCTCACCTGAAAGAGCCTTGCTGATATTCCTTCCATATTCCTCTGATCAGATTGAAGACATTGAAAGGAAATAAATAGCTACCTGCATATAACACCCACAAACTAGGAACCAAATGTCATTTGAGATAAAGATATGCAGATTTATATTTACAGCAAAGGGAAATACTTGAATTTGAACCTAAAGGGATAGAATAATAATTCCCATGCTAGAACAAATGGGTCTGAATGCCAAATTAAAGTGTACACTCTTAGCGCCCACTTTTATTTAGGGTATGTATATGTGTGTGTATGGGGTGTGCATAACTGTATGTCCAGTTAACTGCTTGCACATCAGGAGATGCACAGAAAATCAAATCCCATGGTGTGAAGCCAAAAAACCTGAACTGCTGCTATGCTGCTGATACTTGTGATCCACAATGGAATTTCAAACTGAAGCAGGGGTTCAATGTCAAAAGCACACCAAATTATTTTATTTTTTAAAATTACATTAAGCTGCTTGGCATATTAAAAATGTACATAAAGACTTAATTTAAACCAGATGCTTGTAAGAGTTGGCAAAAGCTTTTTCTGACTGTGTTGCCTTCTCAAGTTTTGTCACTGTCCCCCAATCATACCAGAATGATGAACAATTCATGGTTCACTCTGAAACATATTCAGGTTTTATTATATCCGGTTCCTTTTCAATTATGTTTCAATTTGTTGGACCAGGTATTAGTACAATTTTACTACTTAGAAACCCAGAATCACAGATGGGGAAGTACTTTAGGACACAAAATATCTAAGATACTTTTATGTATCTTTGTCAGTCTTTACAGGGATTCATTCGAAAGACAGCAGTGATTGAGGCACTGAGTCAGGCTTGCACAGAACAGAAACTTCCTGTATATGCTACAGAACTGCAGAGAAATATATTTTTACTACAAAAAAACATTTTTTCAGCTTCCTTATCCACAAAATCAGGGATGGTGGTAAAATATCAATACGTCTTGTGAACAGAGGGAATGTAGCAAAACAACAAAAAGCTCTCAGCATTTATGCAGAAGTACTGTTTTCCTCAGGGTCTCTGTCTATGAGATGAATGCTCCCCGTGAACACGGATTCCTCTTGAGCCGAGGTATTCTCCAGCTGCTTCTTTGTGCAATATGGAATCTGGCCACAGAAATACATGTAAATCCATGGGTTGGTGCAACTATTTAGATTGCCAAGGAGCATTATAATGGTGAATGCTGAACCTAGAACAAAACAGTTAAAGGAATGAGACTAAACAAAACACCCTTACAAATAAGTCACATTTTCACAGTCTGCTGCTTTCTGCTGTATCTATTCATATATTAAAGTTAATCTAATTGTAGGAAATTCCCATTTCAATGCAATTTACAATTGCTGAAGGTATAAAACACACTTTATTGTATGCATTCAGAGTTAAATAGCTTCACACAGCTCTTTTTTGATGTAGATGCATTAATTTTAAAAGCAATTACTAAGCTGTAAAACACATTATAAATAAATGCAGATATATATTTTGACATAAGTGTATGTAGAATAGGACTCAAATTCACACTGTCAGGAAGAATTCTTAAAACAAAGTTCAGAAATTACTGTTTTTATCAGGTAGGACTATTATATCTTTTCCCTTTTTTATCTCTTTATTTAGAATAGGTGAATTTAAAGACACATATAGAGTCTGCCTTTCACAAAGAGGCAGTAGCATAAATTTGACAAGACTATTTCTGTTTACAACATGGTGTTTGATAACTCTCTCAGGCTTGTTTTTTTGCTTTATAAACAGCTGTTTTTTTGACAAAAGACAGCTTTTGGTTGTTTCATAGTGTACTACAGATATTTCAGCAATATTATTTCAATATTTAAAAAAAATCAGATGTCTTATAACATCACTGTTCTACCCAGTAAATAAGAAATAATTTCATTACTTTGAGTAGCCAATTGCTCCTTTTCACCTCAAGAACCCAAAATACTGCTGCTATAATACCTAAAACCTCTAAAAGTCAGAAGCTGTGCTGAAGCACATGATACTTTTCACCATGCTAGTCATGAATCTTTAAATTGTTAATCACCCAAGACACACACACAGAGTAGACACATGATGTTTTGATCACATAACACAAGAAGTTCCCTGTACCTAATTAAATACAAGAGATAATCAATCCAGGTATTTCTTTTTAATCCTCCTCAAATGACCACATGTAGCCTTTACACAAAAGCAAAATGAAACATAAAGCACTCGACAGCAGTGTGCTAGCCTGCTCTGCAGCTGTGACTGAGGAGGGAGAGCATCTTACCTTCGGTCAGGATGCTGGGGAACCACACGGACCACAGCTGTGCAATGAAGAAAGGTGACCAACAGAGAACATATGCAACAACTGTCACCACTGTCATTTTTACTGTCTTGATCATAGCCTTTGAAATACAGTTCACACTGCTTGCTCGGGATGGCAGGACTTGATTCTGATTTGTTGCTTCGCATTCATTTTGTTTTTTCACATTTATATTTCTTCTGATTATTTTGCAAATCTTGACCTGGCATGTGATAAGGATTGCTGAGGGAATGAAGAATATAACTACAAAAATCCAAGTCACATATGCCCTTGGGCCCCAAGGCTGAATAAATTCACCCCAGCATTCAAAGACACCTGGAGATATTTCAGTCTTAGAAAAGATAAATACCTGTGGTAGGCTAAGAATCAGTGCTATAGACCAGCTGGTGCAAATGGGGATGTTCCAGAGAGCTCTCTTCTTTTGGAAAGAGACCATAGGGTAGCAAACGGCTTGATATCTGTCCACTGTCATGACCACTATCATATAAGTAGAGGCAAACATGCCCAGCAATTGTAGATACTTGATAATTCTGCACAAGAAGTCTGGCCCTATGAAAACGTCTGTAATATCCCATACGAGTTGAGGCAGCACTTGGAAAAAGGCTACCACTAAGTCAGCAATGCTGAGGTGAAGCATGAACACATACATCCGAGACAGCTTCTTTCTTCTTCGCCACAGAATCAGTATGAGAATGAAATTGCCCACAGACGCTGTCAGAAATATGACCCCCAGTACAGCAATCTCTACTTGAGCTAATTGCTCATCTCTTTCTGGTCTTCCAATAGGATCTGACTGATTTGTCAAACTCAGGAATCTGTAAGGAGGAGGACTCTCCGTCTGATGTGTGTTATCCTGCATAGGAAATGAGAAATTCTTCATAATGCACAGAATCTACTCTCAGTAGTCACTTGCGACTCAGGTTGACAGCTGTAAAGCACTGGCTGGCAAACAAACCAGCCTGAGTTCGAGTTTCAGGATATCTTCAATCAAATCTTCCTGCTCATGCGAACTAAAGCAGTGGGACTTGGATCGTGATAAAATTCTGTCTCTTGCTGGCATGCAAAAAGGCTTTATATAGGCTCCCAGCAGACAGAGCCTTATGTAACTGCAGAGCCCTCGGGTAGGCTGCAGGGACAGCAGCCAATGGCAGACCGAGTCACACAATTGGGGGAAATATATAAATAAAAGGCAAACTTCAGAGGCTCAACGTGATTCAATTACTCACTTCAGTCAAAACCCGAACTTGTAAATAGCTGTGGTCAGACTCATACTTAAATGACCTTACTCGGGAGAGTTCTTGCAAAATTTTTTCTACGCAAACCAGAGGAAGGTTTATACAGAGATAAAATTGGGTCCCTGAGCTCAGGCACATCGTAATGGCAACCTCCAGCCTCCTGGGGCATGACCACATCCTAAATGCAGCACAGACAAAGAAATGCATTTTTCCATAGCCCTTTTTTTCCTTCTTCTTTTTTTTGGAGTCACCTGGTTCTAAAATAAAAACAAAAATATTTGTACTGCCCTAAAAATAATATTTTTATTTCAAGACAGGGTCAAGACTTTAGAGGTTGTTTCAGAAAAATGAAAAATAACACATGCTAAATAAATTACTTTTATTGGGACTGGGTCTACTGAGAATTTAATTTTTTAAAATAGTGAAAATTCAGTGGCAAATCCAACTGAGGAAAAGGTCTCTATGATGAAACAATATTCAAACATCTCTGTTCTATTATAGCGCTAAAGTCTGTCAGGTCATTTTTCAGTACCTAAACCTTTTCATTTTTGTGGAGTAAATTGTATCATGAACACAGGAAACTCATTGTTCTTCAACTTTACAATATGACTTTTGCATAAAGTTAGTGGCAGATAAGAATAGAAAATTCAAACTGATTTCATTTTTTTTTTATCTCTCAGTCTTCCTTCTTAATCACAAAAGAGATATTTCATAAATATGAAAAATAACATATATTTGTATGCAATCTTACTTGAAGCTAGGGCACTCATATCCTTCTGGTTACAGTCGGGAGACTGGTAATTTGAAGTCTTTCTGAAGAGGAAACCAGTAAGGTGAAAAGCAATATTCACACTGCATATATAGTACATAATACTGCACCTAAGCTGATTAATCACTGTGATCACAGCTATATTATAAAACCAGCTCAGGAAGCTCACAGACAGATTACCACTTCTTTGCCACTAAAGGTTTTCATATACCAACAAGCAGGTGAAGGGCAAAATTCATAAACAGGATGCTGAGGAAGACAAAAAAAGTATTTTCTCTCCCTCTTTTTCCCTTATCTGCCACCATGCAATGGATGTTAATAGCTCAGGAAAGAGTAAGACCATGAGAACAGACAACAGAGAAGCTGAACAATCTCAGGAAACTTTTCCACTGACAGCAGCTGTAAGTATCCATAATCTAGACTTGGCTGAACACTGCTGCAGCTGCCTGAGTCTACAAAGGCTTTTCTCTAATACTGTCTTGCAGAGAGTATGAATCACAACTTAATCTAATACACCTGAATTTTTTCCCCTAAATTAAGGCCTATTTGTAGGAAACTTGGATTCCCGAGGTTGTTTTCTTTTTTTCCTCCTCAGTCGATCTCAATTAGTGGGAAAATAGGCATAGCAAGATCATAAGGGAGCAAATGGGTTTGCCTTAACCCTCACTCTCCCTTCACCCAGAAACTTGCAGTAGAGTAATTGAATTGGCCACAAGCAATAAACCCCTGGAAATGCTGCACTGGAGAGCAGCTGGGCTGATCTCAGATTCTGTCTTCTGATGGAGACTACGTTTCAGGTATGTGCTCCAAAGTAATTTACCTTTACCATCCTCACTCCACAACTTAACAAAAAGTCAAGAGGGATCTTTATTCTTTGAGCAAGTATATGATGCAAACACATACATCCCACCAGAGATAGGATCAAATGGATTGAAACAGGAACATGTTGAAGAGAATATTAAGTTCAGGGTCAGGCATGGAAGATAAACATACATCTATATTTCATTATTATATTTCAATATCAATAAATTTATTGATTAAATAATAAAAAAATAAATCAAAATTCAAAAAGCCCAGTATATGCAACAGAAGTAAATTCTGGTATACTGTTGGAAAACTAACCAGAATATCTATTTGTATTATTTTTCACAATGCATAAGGTATGGATAGACATATATTTCAGGCAAATGTGTTTTATCAGCTATCCCCAATAAGATCCCTGGGGACGCACAACTCTTCCTCGGTGTACACATGCACACAGCACACAGTGTCTGGGCAACAGCCCAGGTGTTGGATGCAGCATGTGGACACAGGCTAAAGGGCAAGCACACTGTGAAACAAGTAGCCTTTGCTATGTTTATAAAAAGGGTGGTGGCCCTCCTTGTACAAATTGTCCTACTGATGTAAGACTCTATTCCATCTTGCATATAATCAGTTCAATATATGTTAATGGTTTAATAACATTATAATTGTACCCTTTCAGTCTTTTTCATCCATGCAAGCACATAGTCAGGATAATGTTAAATTGAAATTTAATCCACTCTGGGAAAATAACTTACTGAGAAAAGAAAATTAGGATAACAAATGAAAATGTTTGAGTAGCCTTAGCTGTTCTTTTACGCCAATATTGTCCTCCAATTTCCCGGCTTTGCTTCATTCCAAACTGTATCTGTCCAAGTTAAATTCTTTCCCTAAATTATTTTAATTAACTTCTGCCGAACTTCTCAGTGTAGACTGTCATCTACTGTTTGTTAAGTTAGCTAAAGGGAGAGAATCAGCTCACAGATTAAGACTCCAATTTAGCTATCTGCTCTGAATTTCAGAATTACACAACTGCTCAAGGTAGGGACAACACTGAGTTCAGAGCACTTTACCCAGATTTGTCCAGTCAGGTCTTGAAAACCACCATGAACTTAGAAGCCCAAACTTCCCTGGGTCACTGGTTAAAAATTCTTATTTTCATTGTGAAAAAGCTATCCTTATATGTGACCAGACACTTCCCTTATTCAGGCCACCTTCTCCCGTTCTTCTGGCACAACTTAAGTAAAAGCCTGGCTCGGACCTCTTGCCAGCCTCCTCCTAGGCACTGCAGGGGCACTGTTAGTGCCTCTGAAGATGTCTCTCCTCCAGGCTGAACAAGCTACATTGAGAGCATTGTGGAAAATGTTGTGTTCTAGGAATTAGCGATCTTGAAGAGGACATGTCTGTTCTACTGAGCCCTGTACTTAAAGCCTGCGCTGACAGGGGTGAATATTTTGAATGTGATGACATCCCAGCCTGTTGGGATGAAATATATGTGATTGTTTGCCACACAAAAAAAAAGGCTCCACATTGTGGGAAGAAGGAAGAATCCCTCCAGAGATGGCATCTGTGCAGGGGAAGATCTATGTAATTTCTGTCTGATGCTGCACAAAAATGGAGTTCCCAGCATTGGCATGGACCTAATATTTCCTCACTATCCATATTTCTGGGGTTTACCCTACCTTAAGAAAACAGCTATTTTACCACCCTCTTTATTGTTGCACTCCCTGGTGCAGAGCACAAGCCCAGCTCACTCAGCCTCCCTTTCTAGGCTACATCTTCCAGCCCTCCGAATCATCTTCATGGTGCTATGCTGAGCTCACTCATTCTCATCACCACCTTTCCTGTACAGGGGATCCAGGACCAGAGGAAATATTCCATCTGTGGTAGTGGGGAGTGCTGAGTTGGTAGAAAATAAACACTTCCTCTGCTCTATGAATTCCATGTGACCTGTGTGTCTGTCAAGTCCCATCACAATCTTTGTCTTCCAAACACTGCATGAATTGCAGTGCAGTGCAGATCTTTTTTTGCCAAGCCAGGTGAGAAATATATACTGAATCAGAAATACATGCATTTTAGGGTTAAATGCCTTTGACCAGTTTCTGAAATCCAGACATGTTTAATTTTGACAGACATTGCTTATTAAATACAACTTGTAAAGGAATAAGTTTGCAGTCTTTTACTTAGGAATGGATAAACAACTTCTAAAATGTTCCTATTTAAGAAAAGATCAAGTAGGAAATATTGATGTCTGCTTTTGAGGTAAGCAACCTAGGTTTGCCTCTTTTCTCAGTAAGATTCTGTAGATGTGAAGAGCTAGTAGATTATTGTTACTGTACTTGTCAAGTCATGAAAACCAATTAATTAAGAAAAACAAATTTTTGAATGATTTGCTACATCTTTAGAGGATTATAGAGAAATCAAAAATTATTTCCTCAAGGCTGATGTGATTCTATTTACTTTCAAACATTCAAATACAAAACAGTTTCCATAGGCCTTATAGGGAGAAAAGGACTAGAATGTGCAGTAAATGATTCAGTTACCAAGAAGACGGTAGAAACACTTATTTCTTAATATTTTTTACATAAAATACTTACTTAGTAATATATTGTAGGGTAGATAAAAGGAGTCAACATGGCACTGCATTGAAATTGCCTTATCAATAGAGACTACGTTTGAGGAGATGTGTCAAGTAATGTAAATACATATCAGTAGCATGAAGTGTTATGAGAACTGCTTCTGGACGTAGTGCAATGGATAGCAAATGGATTCTTTCCTACAGGAGATTAGTCAAAGTTACACATGAATACTGTTCAATACTTAGACTGTAGCATAGATGCATTTACAGCAAGGAAGGTCCATATTTTTCACTAATGTAATATTGCTTATTTCCAGAACATGATAGATAAACTACTTTAAGTCTTTTTTTACTGGACTAACATTATGTACACCCTTATGATGTTGTACAATCTCCTGCAGTTCTGGATTCTTAAAAAAAAATTCCACCATTAGTACAGTAATTATATTAATATACAAGGTTCTTTCTACCAGGCTTAACAGTGCACTTCAACCTTATATAGTTAAAAAGTTACATCTAAAGGCGATGTACCAACAGAAGACAAATACATTACAGACACGATTACAGACAGTATGTAAGTAATCATGCAGCTACCCATGCCACTGTCACCACGCAAGGAGACACAAAATGACAAATAGCTT